AAAAAGAAAATTTTTAAAAAAAAAAAAAAAAAATCTTTAGAGCTCAATCTTTTAGATGAATTTAATAATAAAGTAATAAAACATAGTGCCATGGATCTAAGTGTAATATAGTAGCTGACTGTATTTGCATACACAAACGTGAGCAGACCTGTAGAGAGGGAGTCACAGCCATGGTCAAAGAGCTCTCCAAGTGGTGTGCTGCTGTTGGTCCTTCGTGCCTGCTTTCCATCTATGGCATCCAATGATTGATAGATGAACAGACCCAAAGCACAGGCCAAGTATGCCCACGTTGGTGCCTGAAAAAGATAAAACAGGCTTAAATTTCGGTCCACTTTGATGCTTCGCACTGCACCAATGACTAACATGCAACTTCATACTTACTGCCACAAAGGTGGATATGAATGCGTTCTTTTATCTCTATAAGCCTTATTGTGGATACAAATGGTACGGGGAGAGAGAGGATGTCGTATTGCAGACTTGAACAATGTAGATGCTTTCCATAACAGCAGGAATCATAAGACTGTTATAGCTGATAAACACAGGCTGTTACAGCTGACAGAACAAGCCGTGTCTGACAATACACAGTGTCTTATTGCACTGTTTAAACAGACCACACACCACAGCAATTATCTCCTCTGGAGAGCTCAGAATATACTAAATTATGGCCTTCATAGACTATATGCAAGGCAGGGTAAAAAAGAACAGCCAAGAATTTACTGCAATTGCAACTAAATAATTATAGTTACACTTAGACCGATATTAAAATCAGCAAAAAAGACCACATCCTACTGCATAAGTTTTACGAAACTGATATTAAAGTTGACAAAAGATCATGCCCTAGTGGTCACTGCTACAACTGAACTAAATCTAAACCTGATACATAAATCAACAAAAAGGACAGTGTTCTAATGGTGACCACTGTAATCAAACAATCATAATTAGATAAAAAATTTATCTTAAATCTGATTAATTAAGAGTAATCAACAACAAAAAAGTATGATACTCTAATAGATATTATATACTTAAAAGTTTACTAAACTGATATTAAAACCAACAAAAAACAATGACGATGACCACTGCAATAACTATTAACACTAAAACTACACAAAAAAAAAAACGAACTAAAACCGATATTAAAATCAACAACAAAATGTTCTAATGGTGACCACTGCAACAGCTGTTAAATATTCATAATTAAAATATAACTGATTAAAATCAACAAAAAAATACCAGATGACTACTGTAAAAGCTACCTTGTAATCATAAATTGACTGAACTGATATTAAAAGCAACAACAACAACAAAAACATCCTAATAGTGGTCACTGCAAAAGCTACTAAATATTTGATTAAAACTGATAATAAAATCAACAAAAAGAAAATATCTTGATAATGACCACTGCAACCGCTGTTTAATTCTAAATATTCATAATTACATTAAAACCGATATTAAAATCAGGAAAAATTACCGAGACCTAATGTAACTGACCAGTGTAACTGCTGCTAAATAATAAGAACTACACTAAAACTGGTATTAAAATAATGAATAATAATTAAAATAACTGCACATTTTGCATGGACATTATTTTGAATCTGCACTATACCACTGTTAGCAAGTGAAAACAAAATGAATTGGGGTTTGTAGCTGATCTGTTTAAACCAGTACTGGAATCTACTGAAGCAGTGGAAGTGCACAATACCTGTTCGGTGGCAGTAGGGCAGTAGTATACCAGTATCAGAGTACTGATAATATTAGTAGCGAGTCCCACTATGGTGATGAGGTTCGGCGCCATCCAGAGAGGCACTTTGCTCACCAGCCAGCACCAGAATCCCTGCATGAAGGGCTCCAGGAGGGACTGTCCCGCACTGCTGTACCGATGCTCCTCCAGCCTTTTGAGCTGCTGCCGGGACAGACGGGCTACGGGAAGCTCCATCAGCTTGGCCAGGAGACCGGGGCCCTCTTCCACACCTGGTGCGTTCAGGTCACGGGCCACGGAGAAATTGTTGTCTGAATCGGGCCGAGCCCGGACAGGTCTCTTGTGTGAGCTCATGTTTCTCTGCGTGGGCGTGGTGAGCGTTGAATCCACAATGAAATTATGGGATTAGATCTACGGGAGCAAATACAGTAGCATGCATAAATTATTTTTGAACAAATGGAAGAACTCTGACACTACTGAAAAACTGGAATTTATAATTAAAGTTTTTGTGGGGTGGTGTAATAGTTACTTAGTTAACTGCTATTTAGTAAATGATTTCTATACGCTACAGTCAAGCTACACTACAGTCTGGAACAATCAACAAGCTAAATGTATTTATCAAGGGCAACAGAGAATTTTAAAGATCAAATGGGACGAGGACTGTAAAACAAAATTACTAAAACAAAATTCGCCGTATATTCTATTTGAATTCAATTATAATCAATAGTATATGCATATGTATATACACATACACCGATATAAAAGTGAATTCATTTAAATTTTAAAATTAAATTAAATTGTCAATTTTAAATGAAAATTACAGGCTATGAATATTTCATTATAATGTAGCAGATGTTCTACCAGCGCTTTTATACTTTAATAGACACCTCTTAAAACATTTTTACAGAATAAAATTATAAATATATGCATGTATAATTCTAAACTGATATAATACTTAATTTTAATTTAATATTTTTTCATTTTAAAATTATTAAAACTGAAATTATTGGAAGAATATTCAATTATAGTATAGCAGATGTTCTACTGGTGGTTTTATACTTTATTTGATGCCTTTTAATATATTTTAATAAAATTATAAGCAAATATATATATATTATATAAATTTACATACTTTATATAAATGTATACTTTGATGCCTTTTAAAATACTTTGCTCTGTCTTCGACCTCAGCTTAAAGATTTTGTCAACTTTAATGAGTACAGTATATACCGGTAGTTGATCTCACAGCTATAAAACAAAGAAAACATTATTTTTGTAATTTAATAGAGTCTTCAGTATCATTTTATATACATTTTATTTTAGGCATAACAAAATAACGACGTGACATTTATTTTTTACAACTATAATTATATATTAAACACATTTTAGAGAAGGTGTGATTAATACAGTTCGGCTGTGATCAACAGTACCTTTGTTTACCCACCACCCTAAAATACACCTGACAGTACAGGAAGAGGGCAGTTACAGGACAGAAAGATAAGAGAACGATGCATTGGGATCTAATAAAACCAAGCCCTTAAACTAAGACATTGATCTGCCGTATGTTTTATGACGTACTCACCAGTTAACTCTATTTATAAGATTATTAACAGCCCATTAAATCTGGAGGATGACGTCAGCTTGATAACAATCCGGAGAGTGACGTCGTCAGCTTGACAGCGATCTGTCAAACGTGTCAGACAAGATGATAAATGTGATATACCTATACAATTTTAATCATGTTAAACACGTTTTTAGAAGCAGCGTGATTAATGAAGTTGGGTTGTGATCAATAGTAACGTTACCTGTTTACGTGGTGAAGATGTCTTTCTCCCCGCAGCATTACTCTGGAGATGCCCGTGTGATGCCAAAAGTTGAATTCTTAAATGAATTGTAAATAAATTAAAAGAAATGCCGGGACGAAGAAACGTTCACGGCAACGGAGAACACGCTTAGGTGAAGGATGGTTAACCGACAGCAGGGTAAACGGCGCGGATGAGATGCGGAGGCGCGAAAAGCGCTTCAACAACGCAACGACAACGCCTTCCGGAAGTACGCATTTCAAAATAAAACCAAGCGATGAAATATGTTTTTTTTTAAATACATATATATATATATACATAGTAATATATATATATATTTACATTAATCAGATGTGTTGATTTTTTCAAATCCAATTATTTAAATTTGGAATAATAATGAACAGTCGTTCATTACACCCCGGTGTCCTGGTCAAATTGCCTCCACTGGCCCTTGTCAATCATGGCTAATCCCCATCCACTTGATAGGCTCTATCTCTCTCTCCTCTCCACCTGTAGCTGGTGTGTGGTGAGCGCAGTGGCGCCGTTGTACTGTGGCTGCCGTCGCATCATTCAAGTGGATGCTGCACACTGGTGGTGGTTGAGGAGAGCCCCTCATATGATTATAAAGCGCTTCGGGTGTACAGCAATACACAATAAAGCGCTATAGAAATACCTCATTCATTCATTCATTCATTAGTACTGCAATAAAAAAAACAGATGGCATGGTTTCTCATGAATTTTAGCAATGTGTACAAAATCTATAGATTGAAATTAAATTATTACTAATAGTAAAACTTGACGGTACGTCTAGAAGTTTTGTTTAGGGCTTTTACTTACGTGTATACTGTCGTAATTGTTTTATTTGTTTATTTATCCAACCCCCTTTTTTTCTTCCTTAACGGGACCGAATTGAGTAAACTGCGCCCCCTAACTTTGAAACTGCATCGACTCAAACCGGTATTAAAATCAGCATACGACTTCAGTGTAGTTGCTTAATCCGTGTATCATTCGATCATTCGTTTTTTGATTTAATATTGAAAGTAGAAAAATGAGAAATCGAGCCAAAATCTCATTTTCCGTTTGTTAAACTAAACGGAAAAACGAATAAACGAGCCGTTTTTCCATTTCTCGTTATTGCATTCCAAATAGGAGATGAAATGATCAAAACGTACACGGACCATTTTGCTTGAATAAGTTCTACTTAAAAAAAAAAGTATATCTACGATATAAAATATCAAAGAGAAGTATTTTTACTTCAGGTATGAAGAGTCCCGTGTTATTTTAGTATCAATGATATATTTATCCTATATTTTTTTGTTGAATTAGACATTTTCATATTTTTGTTTTAATTTTGTATATAGTATTGTTTTTGTCATTTGTATTAGGTTTGATGTCTATATAGTTTTTATTAATTTGTATTTCATTTTCAGTTTATGTTGGTACATGTAGAAAAAGTTAAATGTAATGTCCTCGGAAGAGTCAAACGTACTTATTATTAAACTTTTATACTTTAAGTCTCAACCTCTTCGACAAAATCACCGCAATCTTTAAATAAAACTCTCCTCTATTTTTAACAAACATAAGAAATCACAATTTCAGTACTCTTAAAATAGGAATAAAAAAATTAAAGTCAGGAAACAGGATAAAAAGGCAGAATTTTGTTGAATCATTCTTTATTTAGCAACCACTGAATTGAGAGGTGCCAACGCTGAAAACCTCAGCAGCAGATAAGTGGTATTCCCTATTTGTTATGAGAATCTTGCTGAAAGTTATAACATTGTACAAATATTAATAGGAGATGTGAGAATGTTGGGAAGTTTTAAAAGCAAAACACTAAGTTGGTGGACTGTTAACTTCCTTTCCACAAGGAAACATGATATGGCACGAAAGCATTTTACAGATGAACAGATGAGAGAGAGAGAGACGGCAAAGAGAATATCATGTGGAAAAGTGACAGCGGTCATTGATAAACCAACAAAACTAACTGCTGACAATTCTCACATTCATTTACATAACCTCAAGATTTTCTCCCAGCGCATTTTATGCTTCTTCGAGAACTTCTTTAACTTCATCTATTAAGCCTTCAAGAAATGGCAAAGTGAAAGAGTAAAATGCTGTAACAGCCAATCAACAGAAACATACACCGTGCCAAGTACGGTAAACCGACCCCCAAAAAGCAAGGTTATTAAAGTGCAAATGAACCAAGTCAGTCATGCTAGGAACGGAGTGATAAACTGTTGCAGGGTGTACATGCATACAATTTAGAACAACTTCGAAAGAAGGATTTCAGTGGTACAACAAAAAAAAACAAAAAAAAAACATGTGAGTATCAACTGATACAAGTCTGTACCCTTAACCTACAATGAAAAAGTAAATAAATAAAATCAATTTTAATAAAAAAATTCTAAAGCTTTCCTCAGAATCATTCAGGGGTTTTAATGATCAGAAAAATCCCCTTATTTTATCCTCTGCTGATTTGTAAGAGAATTACCTAACGCTTTATTTCACATGTGAAAGTAGGAAAGGTTTCTTCGGAATACTATCAAGAAGCCTACAGGACTCTTGTGTTTGTCGTTTCTCCGTGAGCGTGTTCCAGGCTACAGCGCACGGGGCCGCTTGGGGTTAATCTGCTTGCTGGCTTGTTCCTCCTCTTGGAGAGCAGAACGGAATGACCTCACTTTATCTGATAATACGAACAGACACGCATCCATTAATAATCATTCCATCAGGGGAAAACTGAAAGGAAAGAACATTCTAGAGGATGCTTTACCTCTGAGCTCAATAAGAATCTCAATCTTCTGGTCGAGAATCTGCTCCAGCTGAGAAGAGTAGGAGTCCACGTCGTAGTCCACCTCCTCAGTCATCTCCAGGAGAACCTTCTCATCCTCAAGCCACCTGATAGACTCCTGTCAGCACATATAGTGTGAACATCATCATTAGCAATTCCCTTTTTCAGTTTTGGGACTGAACCGTATCTGAGTACAAACGAAAGTAGAGTTCAGAACAAAGAAGCACAACAAACCAAACGCTGACGTCAACTGGACTAAAAAGCTCTAGTGTGAAAGGGACCTCAGAGGAATAAACACCTGAAACACAGCCCTGTGGTCTTCCAGAACCTGCTCCTCCATCTCCACCAGCTGAGACACCGCCTCGTGGAATGTGAAGAGCTGAGGGGAGACTTCCTCTTCCTGTCAATATTCAAACATAAGCTTTTATCCTACCTACATTAAAAAGTCTTAATGGTGTTTGGTCCACAATATCTGAGACAACAAATCGATTGCCTGCCTAATTTTCCTGTTTATGGTTCCAGCCTTATGCTTATAAATGATATATATAAAGCATGAATACACTGATAACAAAAAATAAAGCCTTTATAGGCACATACAGTTGAGGTCAAAAGTTTACATGCATCCATCTTTTCACACTGAGGACAACTGAGAGACTCATATGCAACTATTACAGAAGGTTCGAACGCTCACTGATGCTCCAGAAGGAAAAACCATGCATTAAAAGTGAAAACTTTTTGAATTTGAAGATCAGGGTAAATTGAACTTATTTTGTCTTCTGGGAAACATGTAACTATCTTCTGTAGCCTCTGAAGGGCAGTACTAAATGAAAAAAATATGATATTTAGGCAAAAAAAAAAACAATGTACACATCTCCATTCTGTTCAAAAGTTTTCTTAATGCATGGTTTTTCCTTCTGGAGCATCGGTGAGCATTTGAACATCTTTTATGTGAAATATCTTATTCAGGTCAGTACTAAATAAACAATAGCATGCATTTTGTATGATCCCTCTTATTTTGGTAAAATAACATTTTGCAGATTCCGAAAGGGGGATGTAAACTTTTGACCTCAACTGTATAAATATATGAATCTGCACAGAAAACAAAAAGGTATAATTAGTTTGAAAACTACAGGGTTAGGAGGGTTTTTCTTTCTTTCCTTTTCTTTTTTTAAATGAATACTTAATATTTAGCAAGGATGTATTAAATTTATCAAGTGACAATTATAATCTAATTTATGTAAACAGTAACAGACACAAATTACACTTCTAAAACGTATCACTGGAGTAGGACTCATTACTGTATCATCATGCATGCATTTTTAAAGCAGAGGAAGTACTAGGAACAGATATCTTTTTACATTCTGTTCACAGAGCAGTTTGAGGTCATCTCTCTGAGGGGAGTTGCCCAAATCCCATTCCTCATCCATGATGTCCAGCTGGTTGATGGCGTTGACATTGGGGCGGACTCCCTCTGTCACAGCATTGGGATCCACGGTCAGCTCCTTCACTCTAAATGCACAGATTGACAGCATTTATGATGTTTTTAGAGCAATCATGCTGACCTAAATGACACCATGCACAGGTCACAGGACTCAACTGGGGAGATGCTTGTTTTGGCTGCGACACGGCATACTCCTACCTTACTTTTAAAACAGAACCATACATTATTTCAAAAACGTTGTATGCTTTTAATAAGCATTTTAAGACAAAATCAAGAGCAGTTTGTTTTTTAATACAACAAAAAAATACAGACATCAGAATTCCCATAGGTGCAGTTGGGCATATAAATTACAGCAATTTGTGCAGCTAACGCAACTGTTTATGGTGTCATCTCATTTTTATTAATTGAGTACAGTGTTTATGTGTATTAACGTTTCTAAAGGAGAAGTAAGGATGACAGCACCACAGCTATGCCAGACATTCCCAGGGTTAGAGAAATGAAATGACAGCAGATCAGAGGGGAAATGAAAAATGTTTACACCAAAAGCACAGCCATTAGTGTGAGACGTGAGTGCAGCCAATGTTTCTAATAAAATGAAACAGACTGTGGTTTTATA